GGACAGATGAGCATGTTTTACATCTCCCTGGTTATAACTTTGGCTTTCTAATATTTAACAAAGGGCCCAGAAATCAATCAAACCAATGCATCTGTTAAATCTTTAGGTCTCAAGTCACTTTCCCCCAATGGCAATAAATCTTGTTTAGGCTAGGCTAGGCTACCTAGGCCTAGACAAGACCTAGGGCCTAGGCTAGCCTAGCCTACCTATAGCAATGAAGTACTTATTAAAAGTTATTATTAAAACATTTTAAAAATATCATTATGAGAAAATAATATGAATATAAGGTAGTACATTAAATTAAATGTTCTAACTACCTAAATTAACCAGATTGAACGATCAAACATCTTAAAAGAGAAAGATAACAATAACATGCCATCCTGTAGTGGTTGGTTGCAGGGTTGCCAGATAGTCGACAGGCTTCATGGCCAAACACACGCCATCTCACGGCCAAATTCGGCCAAACTTTTTTTCGATATCGGCCAAAATTCGGCCAGATTTTAATCCGATTAAAAGACAACATTATATATTATACGAAAATCAGCGCTCATTCGTTTGAAATTGAAGAAATTCAAAAGATATACACAGAACAATGTTAAAAATAAATAGCCTGTTCTTTAGTTGCTGGCATGCAGGTCAATTCAGGGGCAAATCCAGAGATGTCCGAAAGGGGAAGGCCGGGGCCGAAAAAGGGGAGGATCAATTTTTATTTTTTTATTTTTACCACCCTCCCCCTTAAATCCACCTCTGCTATTTAAAATCACAATATTAAGATTGATCTAAATTTGATTTAAATGCATTAAATATTAATGTACATTGTAGTCGATCTATAGCAACAATTTTAAGGGCCTGTTATTGGCAAATCCGTGGCTCTCTTTAATTAGAATGAATTAAATTATATAGCTAGGTAACACTGGCGTTAAAACAAACCTATGAAACCTATGAACACTTTTTATCTAAATTTTCGAGATTCGCCTCTGAATGTTATTGTCGCAGTAATTTAAGCAATAAATCAACGTTGCTAATAGTATCAGAATTATCATCTTCATTCTCATATGCAACCTAAGGAGCGTCTTCGAAGAAGTCTCTGCAAAACTTGCTTGAAATTGGAGGTGCCATCGGACCCGAATGATCACATCGAGCATTTATATATGGCGCTCTACATAAAAAACACTGCGACACCTAGGGCTATACAATTCAAGTGGGCGATAATAAATTAATTAAAGTACTATATTTAATTTATATTCAAAAGAAATTCAAAAGAGATAGAACCTCCAATAGTAAGATGGAACATTACAAAGACACACAATATGGTACAAACAATGAACTGTCTTCATAAAGCTTAAACGAGGAAACCTTATCAATATATTTCATCCGAACCATTTAAATTATTAAATGTAACTGTTAAATAAACTCTCTTACGTTAAATCGGCTGAATCGGGGAATATAGATTAAGTGTTTAGTGCAAGTACAAACAAAGGTACACGATTAGAATCAAATATAGAATTTAAGCTAACAAAAACAAAATATCCAAAACAAGTTTACGTTATATTAGACCTATATTGAAAAAAATGTAAACTTTTCAAAAATTCGGCCAAATATATTTTGGCCGTGACTTTCCAAATGCTACGGCCAGGCAAATTTTTATACGGCCAGATTTGAGGAATCTGGCCGTCAAAAAGGCCAAATGGCAACCCTGGTTGGTTGGTGAATGACTTGGGGATCATCTTAATAATTAAACACTCGCGCATGTGGAGAGCTGTAAGCTAGCTAGTGTACTCTCTGGGCTGCGGTACCTCCTGTGCAGGGATTGTCTCGAAAGTTCCATTTTTTCTTAATGAAAATTTTTTCTTGCTAATTCTCCACTAGACAACCGGGCAACATGAGGAGTAAATAGGCTAGCCCGGAGCGGTTTTTACTAGACATTGTACGCCGGGCTAGTACTAAATCGAGCCCTGTATATTAAGCATCGTGAGGGCACCGAGGCCAAGGCTTCAAAAGGGCAGGCAAGTAGTGGCCGTCGTCGTGCTTAATTTTTCAGGGGCACCAAGGCCAACTGGGAGGGCACCGTCGGCAATGGCCTCGGTGGCCGCGGTTAAATTCGAGGCCTGAAACGTTGAAATGTTCACTATACTGAAAAATGACCCATAATTGTTCAGAATTTTGTGGAGGATTACATAAAAGTAAGAAGCTGTCAGTAGTCACAGCAGTCATACCATATCTAAAATTAGCTGAATTTTGAAATGTTATATAATAATCCTACACTTTAGGAGTCCTTAGGAAATCTGTTTTACCAAGCAGAACCAGACCCCAGAATATTTTTCAGGACCAAGTGCTATTGCTGTAAAGGAAGATTTCAGGAGCTGGCGTTTCACTGTAACAGAACCTGTGCCGGTGTTGAAGCTAATTATTGGTAAAGTACCTACTCTAATAGTGAAAACAACTAGTGAACTAACTCTTATGCAATTGCGAAACATTTCAGGTCATTATTCACTGAATGGACTTGCTTTCTATTAACTGGGGAAAAAATGTGCTGTAGTTCTCATATACTGGTAATTGCATTTGGAATAATGGATTTTTGAATGTGTTTAGGATAATCATTAAACCAAAAAAAAAATCAGAAAAAAATGATAGTATTTGTTTCCACATTTTTATTGGTTGATTAGCATACAAATTATCAATTAGACTTATTTAGATTTAATTTTGGTTATTGATTTATACTGGCTTGTAATTATTTTATTATTAAAATATTGATTGGATATTGATTCAAAGTTAATTCATGATTTTCTGTTTTGCTTTACAGGATTTCATTTATTTACAACATTTGCCTATGGCTTGAGGTTTCCACATTCAATGTTACCAGTAAGACAGTTATTTCTACTGTTTTTTTGTCAAAATTACAACATTGAATGTAAGTTATAGCCTTTGAAAATGAAGCCTTTTTAAAGCCAGTCATCCATCACCATATAGAATTGAATTTGGTTGGCAAGATAAACTATTAAAGGAAAATTTCTTTCTGCACTATTGTGAAAACAGAATTGCCTCATTCCGCTTTAAAAATCTCATATAAAAATAATTTTTATGCTGTATCAAAACATTTTTTTGCATTTAATATTGAGTGAACTCAAAAACATTTTTGGAGGGTAATTTAATATAGTTTAATTGGCTTTGACCATGGCAGCTAAAAACTATCATTCAACAGCTTCTAGAGTACAAAGCTTACTAAGTTATGCAAAGTCATTGGATGATTATGGCCAACAGTCCAGGGAAGAATTACATTATTTAAATCCTCACTTCATTTGGAAAGTGGTAGACAGAATACCATACATTATTCATACATACTGTATTCATACATTTATTTTTTAATTGTTATTTACATCGGTTTATTATTTATCATTATTGATCTATTTTTATGATTATATATATATTTATGTTAATATCAAGATTTTTTTTGTTACAGGATGTCATATATTTACGGTTATTCGCAGGTTGGTGCATTCCACCTTCAATGTTAATAGTGATAAGGTGGATATTCATTTACAACAGTGAACTCAAGTAATTTCTTGGTTGGAGTTTTCTTAAAGTCAGTCGTGCATCAATATATAAAATCTGTAATTATTACAATAACTGTAATCAAGATCACCAAGATATGATATAGGATATTAAAAGAAAATTTGTTTCTGCACTATAGTGAAAACTGGATTGCCTTTTTATTGAAGTACTCAACTAAAAATAGTCTTTATAATCTAACCAAAAATTTTCTTGCATTATTTGCTTAGTGGACTATAAAACAAACTGAATATTTTACTGTTTGTGGCAGTTTTGAGGTTAAATATATGGTTTCAGTGTGATGATGACAGCTGAAAACAGTCATTCTAAAGTACGTAGCTTACTGAGTTATGCAAAGTCATTGGATGATTATGCCATTGAAGCAGATTGTATGGGATTCCAGCAATCACATAGTCTTGCACCTGATACAGATCTTTATGATGTTGTAGATGATGTGGATGCAGGTTTAACATCATTACATAGTGTTGATGGAATCGCTGTAATTACTTTAGGAGCTACAGCTAGTGCTTCAAACTTATGTTCCAATGAAAGAAAAAACAGACATCATGGCACTGAACGCAATTTGTCTGCTGAAGTTGATCGTTTGGCAACGTTTAAGAAATGGCCACATTCATCACCAATGAATCCAAGCACTCTGTCAAGAGCTGGATTCTTCTACACTGGTTCTGATGACATGGTGAAGTGCTTCTCTTGTAATGGTAAAATCAAGGACTGGGAGTTTGGCGATTCAGCAGTTGGAGAGCATAAACGATTCTTTCCGAAATGCAAGTTTATTCAAGGAAAAGACCAACAGAATCAAACGATGTTGCAGAACCAGGCATCATCGTTACAAACTGTGCCTGTGGCAAAAGGCCAGTCATCAAAAGAAGATGATAATTTTAACCCAAAGAAGGATTCATTCACAATTGATAAAACAAAAATTCCAGGTAAATTGAATAGTGAATATCGCCGTCTGCTCACATTTCAAAACTGGCCACGCACAAACCCATTGCAGCCTCGCACATTGGCTAAAGCTGGTTTCTACTACACTCAGACAAGGGATATAGTAAAATGTTTTGCTTGTACTGGTGAAATATCAACTGGGAAAGTAATGGATGTTCCTATGATTCAACACACCATGCTCTTTCCAGAGTGCCCTTTTGTTCAGGGTGAGGATGTTGGCAATGAGAAACTGACCACTACAGATGTTATGAATGCCCAGCATGCTGTTGTTTTACGGGAACCTTCAACCAAACTGTCACCAATGAGAAATGAATCAAAGAATAAGAGTCGGGTATCACAGACGGCTAAAATGATTGATCAGCGCGCATCCATGCGAAGTCAGAGTGCCAGCAATGCACCCGAGGCATCCCCACTTGCCGGGTTTTTCCACACAGGTATTTTTTACACATTTCTGATATTAAATTAAAATTATATTTAGTATATTGAAGAAAACTGTTTACTGTACATCTAATTTAAATGTAAAAAAAAATTATCAACTCTTCCATCACTTCTGGCATGAAAATAATATTTTGTATTGGATTGGATTTATTCAGTGTAAACACCAAGGATAGCCCACGAAAGTCTAGAAGAAGACTTATTTCCAGTGGGGTCCTTCTGGTGGTAATTGGGCAGTACACCGGGAGACAATCCCCTACTCTTTTCCGAAGAGTGTACTGCGTTCTTTAACGTGCACATGGGCCATAATGCACACAGGACCAACGGCTTTAACGTCTCATCCGAAAGACGGTGCGCTATATTTCAGCTCTCTAGATGAAACACAAGGAGAGGCAGCGATGGGAATTGAACCGGAGTATAGCCAACCACCAGTATAGCCAACTGTGCTAAACTGAATTCAATTCAGTGGGGTTTTTTAATTATGATTATGGATGCTCCTATAGATTTTCATGTATTGTATGGCCCCTAGGAAGAGCAGTGTTTTTTACTGAGAGGTCGACCCTACTGACAGAAAATGGAAAAACAAAAAACATGTTGGAGATGGTGCCTGTTTTTATCAACCCAAACACTAAATATACTCTATGGTTGGTTAGGTTTCTTTCTCTTTAAATAATAATAATAATAATAATAAAGTTCTTAACCATTCTGAATCGACAAAATAAGTGGTTGTCATTGATTATCAGAGTAGGTTACAAGCTTCAACTGTGCAAAACAAAAGGATCATAGTTATAGTATATATATTTATATATATAGATTAGATATACAGTATATGTATAGATTAAAACTTAATATTTCTGGATAAAGCAGAAAACAAGGGAACTCGCGTTTTAAGCAAAAACTTACTGTCCCTGTACAATCTTGTTCACAATGACACACGATGGAAAATTGCGTCATAGGGATTGTGACATCAGCGGTGAGGCTGGTCCTGGTTCCCCCTCCTCCATTCCTGCCTGAGGGGTCAAGGAAGTAATCTGCATCAGGGCCAACAGACCAACGTAGAATGGAAATGGTGGAAGATAAACATCATCATCTTGAAGGCATGAATGGAGAAGGGGACAAGGCCCACCGGCTTCGCCGCTGACGTCACAATCCCTATTGCACAATTTTCATTGCGTGTCATTGTAAACAAGACTACAGTGATAGTCGAAATCTTAAAAAGTAAGTTCCCTTGTTTTCTGCTGTATCCAAAGATATAAAGTTTTAATTTATATTTAATTAAAACTTTAATTATAATTAATTACTATATTTAATATCTATATTTAATATTTTATATATATACATATATATGTGTGTGTGTGTATATATATATATATATATATATATAATATATATATATATATTATATAT